AGACTATATCAATGGTCCCAGGAGCTCTCCAAGTGTCAACATGTCCTTCTCCTCGGGGATATTTCTCAGGCCACCTTTGCTTTGGCATATTTTCAGATCCAGCAGGAACTGAGAAGCACAGTCCAGCCCAGCCACTGACTCCTTTCAGAACGTGCAGCCTTGGCAATGGCTGAGGTCAGCAGCCAAAGGTGATGCCCCAGTTGCCCAAACCCAGCACCTCAAGAGGCATCACAAGATAAAGAAACAAACAGAGCAAGGAATCGTGGATCTTTTCCTTCCTCTGATGCTGATCTCTGCACAGCACATCAACTCTGTTCTGTCACAGGCATCTTTTATGAAAAATCCTTCCCTTAGGAGTTGTCCTCCTGAGAAGCTGAGAGGCCTCAGGAACAAAATGTAACCAATGGTTATCTGCTGCTGTGGAATGCAACAGGTGCATCTGGGATTGGCCCATGTTGGTTGTTTCTAATTAATGGCCAATCACAGTCAGCTGGCTCAGACAGAGAGCACGAGCCACAAGCCTTTGTTATTCATTCTTTCCTTTTCTATTCCTAGCTAGCCTTCTGATGAAATCCTTTCTTCTATTCTTTTAGTATAGTTTTAATGTAAAATATATCATAAAATAATAAATCAGCCCTCTGAAACATGGAGTCAGATCCTCATGTCTTCCCTGTGAACATGGTCACACTGTTCCTCCTGACCTGAGCTGATGTGGACAGGGCTGTTGTCAGCAGGGGCTCTTTCTCTGAGTGTCCACAGTGATGGGGAGCCCTGGACTGGCTCAGCAGCTCCACTGAAGGCAAAGAGCAGTGACAGCAGCTCTGTGCATGAATCTCAGAGCTGCAGCACCAAGGAGCAGTGTCCTGCTGCCCTGCCCTGGGAGGGACAGAGCTTCTGGGCAGGACAAGACCCACTCTGTTTGCTAGGAGATGGCACGGCTCCAGAATGACCCCCTCCTGAAACACCAACCTAACTTCTCAGAGGTTAAGCCTCAAACCAGGATTTACTAGAAATAAAGGAGTGGGCAGTTAATAGGCACATTCCTTGGCCATGAAAATTCCTGGATGCTTTTTAATTGCACAAAGATCATTTTGAAATGGAGAATCAGAGCATTTTCTTCCAAGTAAGACTGACCTTTCTGTTTAGAAACATCAAAACTGAAAACTTTGTGTGAAGCTGTTCAACTCCCTGGTTTCCCTGCATAAGGAAACTCTCAAGACTTTTCCAGCCACTTTCAGTCCAGGCTCTGTGAGCACCTTAGGCATGAACACCTACCCTGGTGAAGGCTGAACCTTGTTTAGCAAGACAATGGGGCTCAGGAGATGGTCTGTGAAACAGAGGAGTCATCAGGGAGAGAAGATGATAGGCAAAGATGTGGGAGGAATCTTTTAAGGTGAACATCTGCTCCTGAAATAGGTGAAGCCTTGCTTTTTATTGCTGTGAGCATCTGCCTTGGAGCACCAATTCCCAGCAGGGCTGTCAGCTACACCTCCACATTGCTCAGATAAAGCCATCCCTTTTCTTACCTCTATAATTTATGAGCATTCTGCAATCACAAGGATGACACTGCCTACATGGACATGTCTACATCTGCCACTCATTTGCTGTCTCCACGGATGCCTGGGGAGATCAGGATGTTTGAAGTGTTTTGCAGAAGGCTGGGCTCCAGTTTTAAGTCTCTGTCACTCCACTGCAGGTGGAGAAAGCACCCTGAGCACAGAGCTGAGCAGGGTGAAGCAGTGATGGGGCAAATGTCTACTTAGACCTTAAGTGTCATGGCTGTGTTTAATCAGGGCCTCAGGTTACAACATTCAGTGAGTCCCTGCACCACAAATCACCTGGGATCCTCTACTGGCTCTTCTGCCATCCTGCTACATCTGGTGTAAGTTCCTCCTCCTCTCCTTGCCTCAGTTTCCCTCCTGGAGGGGCACAATCTCCCCAGCATGCCTTTGTGAATAATTTGCGCTTATCTTGGTCTGCCCTGTTCCCTCTGAATTATTCTAGCCACTGCTTTCTCAGTATCATTTTGGGCAACAAAAGCCAAGGTGATGCCCTTTCCTGCTAGAGCCCACCAGTCCTCCTGCACAGAGGGAGCTTGGGCTGGCTGGAGAAAAGGAGAGACAACAGAGTTTCTCCTTTGTCCTTGTCTCTCTCTTGTCCTTTTCCCCACCTGCTTCAGACAACAGGATGGATCCTGTCAGCTGCCAAGAACTCTTGTTATTTTTGTCTGCAGATCAGAGACACTGCCAGATCAGACCCAAGAAACATGCAAGGTGTCCCTCTACTTTAAAATGAATCTTTGCTTCCCCACAGTGGCTGAATGGATGTTCCCAGCATGGCATGGCCAGAATCACATTGCAGGTGGGACATTTATGGAGCCTCTTCATAGTGAGCACAGACAAAGGATACCAGGGGCTTACACAGGCTTTCAACTTCACAGGATTCAAAGCAGATCTGTGCTTTTTCTTAAAGGCCTTGAAAGGTTTCTTCATACTTATAGAAGGAGGAACTTCCTCTAAGGGTGCCCTCAGCACCTTACTCTCTTGTCTGCTGACCTGCAAATACCCATCAGCTTTAATCACCCAGAAGAGGTTTGAAGTGTTTGCTAAGTTCAAGTCAAGCTACAAGCCAGAGAATCCTTGGCCACAGTGCTGGGGACACCTTGCCATCCCCTGCAGCACCTGCACAGCCACACAGCTCCATGGGGATGTGTGGATATCATAAATACTCTTGCCCTCTCCAGTCACTGCCACTTAGGAGAGCTCAGGGCACCACCAGGAGTTAAATCTGGAGTACAGACATAGGGAACAGCATGGCTTCCAGATCAAGGGTGGGCTAAACTGTGCACAGCAGCCATCAGAGCAGCACAGCTTGGGGATAGTCAAAAATCCTTTCCAGAACTGTGGCATTCACATTCTCTGAAAAAATCCCTTCACCCAGGATTTTTCTCCTGGGAAGCTGAGAGGGTTCAGAGAAAAGGGAAACAATTCTTGTCTCATTTGCTTCTCCTGTGTTGTGCTCATGTGGAATGTGTTTGGAGATTGTTTACCCACAGGTGATTGTTCCATTGGATTCTGCTGGGAGTTGTTTTCACTCTTTGGCCAATCAGGGCCAAGCTGTGTTGGGACTCTGGAGAGAGTCACAAGTTTTCATTATTATCTTTTTAGCCTTCTGTAAGTTTCCTTTTTGTATTCTTTAGTATAGTTTAGTATTCTTTAATATATTATAGTATCATAAAGTAATAAATCAGCCTTCTGAGAACACGGAGTCAGATTCATCATTCCTGCTTTTGTTGGGGTATTCCCAGCAAATACAATACAGAACCATTTATTCATGGGCACAGGGTTCATTATGAAGGAGCTGGTGCAGATTAGAGGTAGGTGCCAAGAAAACACTTCACACTTTGCAGAAAGGGGTAACTCAGAAGCTCCGTGGGGTATCAAGGAGGAACCAGGCCACTCACGTTCTGCTCTACTCACATTCTCACCACCCTCACTGCCTGTAGCAGGATTACTCTGAGTCTGCCTGTAAACAATAAGAGCTCCTCTCTCTAGCTTGGGGAACCTTGGGAACACTTTGGGGAACCTACTTTAGAAGCAAGTATTTGATCCAGTTTCACAGGGATGACAATGTGAAGGTGTAAGACTGGCAGGGATCAAAGCAGGGATGCACTGAGCCAAGCAGAAGCAGCTCAGGCTCTCAGCAGTGCAGGCCCCACAAACTGGCTGGCAATGGGGTTGGACTTCCTGGAAGTTTCATCTTAAAAAGAAGGGTTGATCCAGACAGAGAATACAAAGCCACCAGGACATGAAATCTGCAAAGAAATTGAGTCAGGCTGCTTCCTGGCCACATTGTTCTGTTGGCACCCTTGTAAATAATGGCTAATGCATCTCCCAGTGGGCCTGACCCTCCCCTTCTGCCAAGGATCAGATGTGCTGTGCATTAATGCACACTTAGCTATTTCAATTTTAAAACTACGAGAGAACCAGTGATGCTTAAAATGTACTTGTTAATGGCACCAGTTTGTGATTTCATTTTACTTTAATATCAACCATCTGCTCAGAGCAGACAGCAGCTGCAGCTCTGGTGCCTGTGGGTCTCCACTGAGGAGGGTGTCTGTGAGCTGCCACAGAGGATGCTGTGCACACCACCAGGAATGGGCTCCACCTTGTCCTCAGGCCAAGAGCTGACTGCTGTGACCAAAGAGCTCTGCAGGAACCCCTGGCCTCTCTTTTCTCTCCACCAGGAAGAGCAGATCAGTGACTGGTGAGGTGACATGGAGGGACTGGGCATTGAAACTGCCTTGACCTCACTGCTGAGATGAGGGAGAGGAGGGCAGGCTGCTGAGGGCACCATCTGCTTCCTGATGGCTGCTGGCAGACACATGAGATCCCAGTACAAAGTCCCCCCAGCAGGAAGGGGAATGCTTTGTGTCCCAACACCCTCTCTGAACCATGACAGCAGGGCCACTGCAGGTGGTGCCACCCAACAGCTCTGGTTTGGATCCCAAAGTGACTCTCAAAAGTGCAGCAAGTCACTGCTGGTCTGGCATGGGTACAGGGCCTGGTAAAGGGATCCAGACAATGCTGTTCCCAGGCCTGTCCAACAGCTCACTGCTGTTCTTGGAAGCTCAAATAAGGAGGCACAGGCTTGGCGTGAGAGCAGGACATCACTCAAGAGTCATCCTTGCAATGCTGACCCTGGACAAGGGAGGGGAAGGACAGAGGGAAGGGTTTTTAAAAGGATCAGATGACCTTCCCAAGTTCTCCCATTTTAGCCTTGTGGGTCCAGAAAGCCCTGTTTGATAAAAATAAATTAAAAGAAAAGAAAAAAAGAAAGCAGAAAGAAAACTGAGAGAAGGAAACCTCCTCTCCTATTCACGGGCTGAGGTATTCCCTGGGCAGCCCTCACCTTCCATCACCCATCCATCACTACCTAAAATAAATACAAGTTTAGAGCAAAACTCATTAGAAAATAAAGTGCATCTGCAATTGAAAAACTTCATGAAAAAGGGACTTTTTTTTTCCTCTTTTTTTTCCTTACAAAAAATATTCTTTCAAAAGAAAAGAAAAAACCAAAGGAGCAACGCGGCTCTCTCGGCCTGGCGTGTAGAGGGCTGTCCCGTTGGGTCTTACAGGGCTGTCCCATTGGGGAGGGGGATCTGAAATCCACTCTTGAGCAGGGCAAGGCAGATGCAGAGAGCCAGCAGGCCGGCCAGGAGCACGGCCAGCAGAGCCTTGAGGCAGGAGGTGCTGCTGCGGGTGAAGGTGCCGGGCGCCATGGTGCTCAGCAGGGCTGTGCTCACAGTCAGCGTGTACAGGATGGACACGCCCGTGTTGAGGGCCACGATCTTCCCAAACTTGGCAAAGGGGGCAATGATGCAGAAGAAGAGCGGGACGGTGGCGATCAGGGTGGTGGTGGCGCTGGAGACGATGGCCACCCCCACGTGCCGCACGGCCTCCAGCGTCCTCCACTGCCGGCACGCCGTGGGGTCCTGGGGAGGGACAGCACGGTTAGTGTGACGCGCACGGGGGGTTCGTTCATTGATGTTTTAGGGTTTGAGGGGTGGCCTAGCTGATAGGATCCCAGTCCAGGACAAAGAGGCTGCTTGAGTGCAGCTCAGACATTTAGTGCAGTGCTATGCAAAGGGCCATAGGGTTACAATCACACAATCACAGAATCACAGAATGATGAGGTTGGAAGAGACCTCCAAGATCATCAAGTCCAACCTATGGCCTAACACCTCAACCAGACTATAGCACCAAGTGCCATGTCCAGGCTTTTTTAAACACATTCAGAGCTGGTGATTCTGCCACCTCCCTGAGCAGACCATTCCTGTATTTTGTTATTCTTTTGGTGAAATTTTTATTCCTAATATCCAACCTGTACCTTCCCTGACGTAGGTGGAGTCTGTGTCCTCTGGTTCTGTCAGTGCTGCCTGGTGGAAGAGACCAACCCCACCTGTCTGCAACCTCCCTTCAGGAAGTTGTAGAGAGCAATGAGGTCACCTCTGAGCCTCCTCCTCTCCAGGCTGAGCACCCCCAGCTCCCTCAGTGGTTCCTCACAGGGTTTGTGTTCCCAGCCCCTCTCCAGCCTCGTTGCCTCCTCTGGATGTGCTCAAGTGTCCCAACATCCTTCCCAAACTGAGGGGCCATAGCTGGACACAGCACTCCAGGTGTGGCCTCACCAGTGCCGAGTACAGGGGCAGAATGAGCTCCCTGCTCCTGCTGGCCACACCATTCCTGACCCAGGCAGGAGCCATTGGCCTTCTTGGCCACCAGGGCACTCTGCTGGCTCATGTTCAGCCAGCTGTCAACCAGCACCCCCAGGTCCCTTTCTGCCTGAGCACTGTCCAGCCACACTGTCCCCAGCTTGTGACGTTGTAGGGGATTTTTGTGGCCAACTCAGCAGAGACAAAGGCTGCTGGATTTTGTGCCTCCTTTCCACCACATCAGACCGACTGCTGGGCCTACACCACACAGGAACTACACCTGGCATCAGAGATCCCAGGCTTTTGTGGTCTCCATCTTCCCAATGAGACAAAAGATGTTAACAAGGCCGGAGGTGAGCTGGCAGAGCAATTTTCAGAGGTTACAGAATTAGTGTAGAGCTGTTTCAGCACAGACTGTCTCCACCTGGACATGAAAACAGGTTGCTTTGGACACAGCTGTGGCCAGCAAGAAAGGGACAACCGTGTGGCTTGGGAACCCTCATCTGAGTGTACTCAGGTACACAAGCTCACAGTGTGGAGCAGTCAGCTGGACAAGCAGCAAATCCCATACCCCAGGGGTGCTCTGAGGGTGCCAGGATGTCACAGACATATTTTCTGAAAAAATCCTTTTGCTAGGATCTTTTCTCCTGAGAAGCTGGGAGGCTTCAGCTTCCCCATGTTGTGCTACTTTGCAATGTGATTTGGAGAATTGTTTACCCAGCTTATGTGAATTGTTTTTACTTGATGACCAATGACAGCCAGCTGTGTCGAGGCTGTGAGCAGTCACAAGATTTTATTATCATTCCTTTCTTTTCTGGCCTTCTGATGTCTCCTCTCTCTTTCTTTGGTATAGTTTTAGTATAGCATTTTTAATATAATATCCATCATAAAATACTAATATATATTATTTTAATATAATATATATCATAAAACAATAATCGTATTATCTTATGGTATATTATATTAAATATATATTTTATATATATTTAATATAATATATAAATATATTAATATAATATACAAATAATATATATCATAAAATAGTAATATATTTTATTATATATGTATTATATATTAAATTATATATTATATATAATACATATAATATATATAAAATATATTATATATTATATAATATATTATATTATACATATTATATATTTAATATATAATATATATGTATATATAATATTAAATATATATTTAATGTAATATGATATATAAAGATATATTAATATAATATATAAAAATAATATATATTATAAAATAATAATATATATTATTTTAATATAATATATACAATAAAATAATAATTATAACAGTAATATATTTATTATCATAAAATAATAAGCCTTCTGAAACATGGAGTCAAGATTCTCATCTCTTCCCGTGTTGGGGCTGCCCTCAAATTCCACACCAGGACACATCCCCCCTTGCCTATCATGTGTCCTGCATCACAGCTGAGTGGCAGGGAGGCACAGGAGGAAGGAATGCCAGGCTGCAGGAAGAACAGGGCTCACCTCTGCCTGCTGGAGAGGCAGGTTCTCCCCTGCCAGCAGGTATCCCTCCACCAGGTGCACACAGTAATCAACAGAGGAGCCCACCAGGATGGAGAGGGAAATTGCTTCCACAGCTCCCATCTCCCAGCCACACCAGTACATGATGGTCACCACCAGGCAGACAACCCCTGTGGGAGAAAGGTGCTGTTAGGCAATTGTAAAGGTGTCACAGATATCTTTTATGAAAAATCCTTTCCTTAGGATTTGTCCTCCTGAGAAGCTGAGAGGCCTCAGGAACAAAATGGAACCAATGGTTATCTGCTGCTGTGGAATGCAACAGGTGCATCTGGGATTGGGTTCATGTGGTTGTTTCTAATTAATGGCCAATCACAGCCCAGCTGGCTCAGACAGAGAGCTGAGCCACAAGCCTTTGTTATCATTCCTTCTTTTTCTATTCTTAGCCAGCTTTCTGATGAAACCTTTTCTTCTATTCTTTTAGTGTAGTTTTAATATAATATATATCATAAAATAATAAATCAAGCCTTCTGAAACATGGAGTCAGATCCTCATCTCTTCCCTCATCCTCAGACCCCTGTGAACACAGTCACATTAAGGACTCTGGGGCTGCTGCCCAAGCCCACTGGTAAAGTCAATCCCTGGGGAGTTTGGGGTCATATCCCACAGCTCTGTGTCTGGTACACAGTCCCTCTGCCACAAACACTTCCCTCACCTTCCCTTGGCACAGGGAGCATTTCCTAAGGTGACCAGACCTGCTGGGCCTAGTGGAACACCCAGCTAAATATCAGACAGGCTGATGCCAATGCAGACTAACTCTTGCTAAATGAATCCAAGCCCAGAGAAGTGTCCATGTGTGCACACAGGGTCCTTATGTTAGCTCCTTACAAAAGGAGAAAATACAGGGTATGCAGTAGTTGATGGGAAAAACATGCAAACGATGGAAAAAGGGAAATTAACCTTAAAGTAGTAAGCTCAAACTTGTGAATTATATACTTTAAAAAAAAAAACTAGACTATTTAACACAAAATAAAGAATTATATATACTGATTCAAGGTATGCCATTAGAGCAGTACATACCTTTAAAAACTTTGGAAAGGAAGAAAATTACTTAATCCAAGAGGAGAAGGATTAGTACATGAGGAACCTATTTTAGAGGCATTAAAATTACCTAAAAAGAGCTATAGTACATATGAAGGGCCACCAAATGGTGTCACATAAGTGAGGCTGTTGTTTTGCTTGCTGCAGCTACACAGAGGCTGAGCACACTTTTTGAAGGCAAAGAGTACTGTTAGTGTGTGAGTCACATGTGGGAGACTAAGTGGTTTCAAAAAGTTAGATTTGATTTTTAAACTAAGAGGTTTAGCAACACATTTAGACCACAATATTATCAAATCACCAGCCTGGGAGAGGAAACTATTTACAATTTTGCTTCAAATACTAAAACATTGCTAAAATACTCAGGTTTTAACATTTTCCACTGCTTGGAAACAGCAGCCATGGTGCAGGTTCTTGTAAAGTAGTGCAATTGTTATTCAGAGCTTGTGGGACTTAATCACATTATTATACATAACAGGTAGGGATGGCATTTGTGTAGCTAAAACCCTTATTTAAACAAATGGAAGGGATTGTGTAGATGAAACACACTGGGAATTAGACACACAAATCTACTTTCCCAATGAGGTTCCTGTGCATTTGTTGAGAGTTTCTTCTGCTCACTTAGCCAGTCTGTTCTCTAGGACTGGCCCTGGAAAGCCAAAAGGGTTTACACAGAATACAAGAAATTCACTTCGAATCACCAGAGAATCAGCAGTGCCACAATCCATCCATTTCAGGACAAGTGAAAGCCTTGTAAGAGCCCAAATGAGAGATGTGGGACTCCAGGCAGCCCTTCCAAATGCAGTTTATTGTATCCAAGATGTTACAGCAGCCAGCCCAGGGTTGTGGGTGACAGAGCTGTGCCCACAGCTCTCAGCTCCAGCTGCAGGCAGGCCTGGAGACCCTTTGGTTTTGGTTACAATGCATTCTAGACTTTTCTTTTGGTCACAATGCATTATATTCTTTTCTTTGCTGAGCATCTTAATACAGTAGGACCAATCTATACCTTAACTTTCATCTATAGCCCATCATAACTACTATAATTACCATATCCATGTTACTGTTCTCCAATCACTAAAAGTCAGTGCATTACAGTTTAAGCTAGAAGCTGCTTTTTCAGTTTTCTTGGAGTGGGAAATTCTGAGACCTTTTTTCTACTTGCCACATTTGCTGCCTTGTTTGCCTGTGCTCTCTTTCTGCTTAGTAAAAACATCTTCTTGTTTGAGGTGGGTTTATCCTTTGCTCTAAGTCATAAAAACCCCTTCTAACTAACACATCCTTTTCCTTCTTAGTTATCCAGTGAGACTGGCTCAGCAATTCTTTTCTTCTCTACCAAAACTTGCTTCCATCTCTATTCCTTCATCAGCCTCTACATTTAAAAATCTTTCTGGCAAGCACAGATATCTGTGAGACTTTCTTGTCAAACTTTCACCCTTCCCAACAAAGCCTGACCCATTGGAATTGGTGTTTTTACCTAAGATGCTGAGCAGCACTGGCAGCAGGAGGAGGATGTGTGTGGTGAACACTGCCACAGCAGCCACACAGATGACCAGCGAGAGGACAAGGCCATACAGGGCACTCTGCACTCCTGGAAGGAAACAGCCAGCTGATATGAATCCTGGAAGGTGACAGCTGCCATGGGAAAGGCACCATGTTCCTGCTGGCAACAAGGCAGGCAGGGACTCACACTGGGGAAGACAGGAGGGGGAGAATGAAAGTGGAAAGAAGGTGATTTGTCAGAACCCAGGACATCCCTCTGGCTGCCCTGCATGGCTTGAGCCCCTGGCAGGGAGCTCAGAGACCTTGGCACAGAGCCCAAGACACCTGTGACTTTGATTTTAACCTATGGAAACAATTCCCAACTTTGTGTGAGGAGTTACAAGCCACAGGGGTCTGAGTAGAATGATAGTGAATTTATCTCCAGGTGAAAATGTAGAATTTTGGGGTTTTTAGAATGGGGGTTCAAGAGGCAAGATGGAGGGACTTGGGCATGTCCAGCCTTTCTCCTTCTTCTTCTTGGCCTCCATCTTCTGCTGTGATGGTGGCACTTTTGGATTGGTTTAGAGTAGAGACAAACTGTCTAACATAGGTGATAGGTATTGGAAAATTATTGTAAATTAAGTACATGTAGTTCTTAGCATAAAAAGCTGACACCACCCCTGGGACTGTGTCACAAACCGACCTGCTGGACAGATCTCAGCAGGTCAGAAAAAGAATGGAATAGATAAGCAAAAAATAAACAACCTTGAAAACCAGAACAGAAGAATCCTGGGTCCTTTGGCTGCTGGGCTGGGAAAAGAGGCTCTCTAACACATCTTGGGGTCATCCTGACCACAGGGACTCTGAGACTCTGATTGGTTTCTTGAATCTCACATCAGCAGGGCTGAGTCCCTTCCCTTACCTATTTCCTTGGGCTTTGCCTAATTTTGACAATACACATTCAGGCTTTTAGGAGTTTGCACAGCAATGGCAAAGGACTGCAGATATAACCCATGCCCACCATATGGGATGGAGTGTGCTGTGAAGATGTGTCAGAGAGCATGGGTTCCCCAGGGAGAGAAACACAGCAGTCACTTGCCTATAATCTCCATGAAAATCTGCTTCCAGTGCTCACAGGTCTGGAAGCCGTGCCGGAGAGCAGAGCCCTCTGGGAAGAGCTGGAGCTGCTGCTGCAGGAATGTCTCCCATTTCAGATAGTCTGCATATGTCTGGAAGGATGATTTCCCCTTGTAGGTTGTCTGTAACAAGATAAACACATCCCTCACGTCCTGCTCTTTGGGCAGGGTGTGCATGGCAAGGGCAGAACAACCAGCTCAAGTGGCAGCGCCAGGCAGGACTGGCAGTGGCACTTGGGCAAATCTGCCACCAGCTTTTTGCTGGGGCTAATTGTGGTGTGAGCAGCCACTTCTACCAACTTGTGAGTGAGTGCAGGCATCTGTCTGCAACAAATGCTAATAAACACCGAATTATGTCTGCAAATGGAAGTGGCCAGTGCAGAAAGAGCAGAGCGAAAGCCCCAGAAGTCACAAGATGAAACTGTCACCAGAATGACAATGTTCCCATGTGCTCACCGACTCAAAGGCCATGGAGATCCACTGCACCTTGCCATCCTTCACCCCCACTGCCCCATGAGAGAGCTGCCCTGGCAGCAGGTTTGGCTCAGGGATATTCTTGCACTCCGGGTGCAACATCTGCAGAAAGGAGGAGATGCTGTAACCTGGAGAGAAAGAAAGAGCAAGAGATGGAGGGCAGAACAGGGGAAGGAAGCACATTGGAGCAAAGAGATTAAAAAAACCCCAACCAACAACCCAAAACGAGAGCCCCAAGAGAATCACAGGACCCATTTGTCCACAGCTGCTTCCCCTTGCCACTCTGGTTTGCCAAAACCCTGGAGGTCTCAGCATCACAGCTCCCAGCTGCTATAGCTTGAAAGGACACTGTCATCAGCATGGGACAGGACAGTGCCACTGCTCTTTGTCCCCAGCTGTCAGAAAGCAGCACAAAGAGCAAGTGCTGAGGGGCTGTCTGCCTGGCCTGGCAGGGATTTGCTGCAGGCATGAAGCTGGCTTTTAGCCTGAAGCCAATATACACTTCCTAGGCTCAGCTCCACAAGCTTGTGACCTCTGAAGTTGGGAGAGATGGTCACTGGTCAGGTGTGCAAAGCCACAGAGACAGTGAGGAGCCTCACTGCAATGAGATCAGGTGTGAGATCATTGCTATTCAGAGGATATTTACTGAACCAAAATATTGTATCTCAAGCAATACCCGTGACTAGAAAAACAAATGCAATCCTGTTCTTATCTTTCTGGATTAACTCCCAAAAAATATACCCAGTGTCTCTGGCATTAAAGAGACCATCTTTCTTTCTTTCTGTCCCAAAAAGCACAACCAATGACACGTTCTAGAAGGGTCAAGCTGCCTTGGGAAGAAAAGGAGACTATGACTAGAAAGAACATGACTACAAAGAACAAATGCAATTCTTTTCTTATCTTTCTGGATTAAATCCCAAAGAATAAACCCAGTGTCTTTGGCATTAAAGAGACCATCTTTCTCCATCTTTCTTTCTTTCTGTCCCAAAAAGCACAACCAATGACACATTCTAGAAGGGTCAAGCTGCCTTGGGAAGAAAAGGAGACAGCAAGGAGCAGTCACCCTTTCTGGTTTGCTGCTGAGGACCCCAAGCAAGCACAGGTAGGGCTGCAGAGGAGTTGTCTAACCTACCCGAGGGCAGGCACTGAGCCCCTCCGGGCTTCACCAGCTCAGAGTTGCTGGCAATGGCTTTGCAGAGGCGGCACAGGTTGCCAATCTCTTTGAAGAGGTCAAAGCTGTCATCGTAGATAACACTGCCCTTTCACAAGGAGACACAATGACAAGAGCACCACACGTGAGACATACACACAGCAACTGGCACTGCAGCTTCCTGCCTGCTCCTCTGCCTGCATTTCTCACTGCCCCTGCAGAGGAAACAGGCAAAGGCTGATTCTGCACAGTGCCCCCAATTCAGAGAGCAGGAAGAACAGCAGAAAGCTGAAGTGCAGCAGCCAAGCTAAGCATAGTTTTCCTAGGGAATGACTGTCATGTGTCAAGGTATGAGATCTCACAGATAAGCTGTTTCTAGAAAAGTCCCATTTAGTGATTTCCCCTAGAGTAACTGATTTTTTGTTAATACTTCATAACAAGATGTATATTATAGAAAAATATCACTTCCCTCAGTCTTGATTGTGTAGTGAGATTTTATACCACACTCAAGATGGGTTTGTTTCAAAAATCCTCAAAAAAGTCAGGTTTAGACTCAAAATTAGAAGGCTATATATTGCACTCAGGGGGATTTTCTGAAAAGTCTGAAATGTTTTTTCAATAAGGACTTCCTGATCTCCATTATTTTGTCAATTTGCCAAAACAGAGTTTTACTGGCTCATCACAATGCTACAAGCCCTGCTCTTCCATCTGTCCAGGCTGCTGGACCACCCTGGGCTGTGGGTATTAACTAAACACCATCCAGAGAGAGCCTGGCCCTTGCTTGCCAGCCCCAACCAGCATGGCCTGCCCAGCTTGCCAGACCATGAGTGTGGCATTCACATTCTCTGGAAAAATCTCAGCTTCCCAGGAGAAAAATCCTGGGCGAAGGGAAGCCTCAGAGAAAAGGAAAACAATTCTTGTCTCATTTGCTTCTCCTGTGTTGTGCTCACATGTGGAATGTGTTTGGAGATTGTTTACCCACAGGTGATTGTTCCATTGCATTCTGCTGGGAGTTGTTTGCACTCTTTGGCCAATCAGGGCCAAGCTGTGTGGGGACTCTGGAAAGAGTCACGAGTTTTCATTATTATCTTTTTAGCCTTCTGTCTGTATCCTTTCTGTATTCTTTAGTAAATTATAGTATTCTTTAATATAACATAGCATCATAAAATAATAAATCAGCCTTCTGAGAACATGGAGTCAGATTCATCATTCCTGCCTTCCTGTATTTTGGGTGTATTTTGGGGCACCCCACAAACACACCACGAGTACCATGTCTCCGAGGACGTGGTTGTCCTGGCGCCTGGTGCGGTTCACGCCTCTGATCCCAAACACCACAAACACCATGGCTCCAGTGTCCACCAGTGGCCTCACTGCTGGCTTCCCACAGCCTGTGTTCATGCATGGGTTAAATCCAGATGTGGCTGACGGCTTTGCTTTGGGTGCTGTTGTCAAATAGAGAGTAAAGGTTGGTTAGTTGTTATAGTAACTTCTTCGAGCTAGGTCTAATGAGCTCCAGGAGCCTATAACACACCTAAGATAGCTCAGCTACCTTTGGAGGCACAATAATCAGCAGGATGGCTGCTGTTGCAGTGTTGGAAACAAAAAGGTTTAATAAAAGGCAAAATAACAAACAGAAAAATTGAGCCAGGTGCCAGACCTTCTTGCTCCTGGTAAAAAACTTTACAAAAGCCATTTGTTTCTTTGTTTACTCCATTTTCTAGTTATTGCCCAAGTTAGACTTTTTAGCTTCTGTCTAATTACCTATCCTTAAGTTTGAGGTGAAGTCTCCTGAGTCCTATGAGGTGTCTTTTCATTTAATTGAAGAGAGAAACTTTTAGACTTCTTTCCTTTTAAGGAAAAGATAGTTTTGTCACTTCATCAACAGAGAGCACTAACTACAGTTAGTGTCCTGGTTTGATAAGGAAGGGTTGATAATCTGAAGGGTGGTGATGAACTGAGAGTCGATTATCTGAGGGGTGGTAACTTGATTGAGAATCCAAGGTTTTGTCTCTGTGTTGTGTTGGAAATTGGGGGGAGGAGGAGGGATGTTTTTGGAAGGTTTTCATTCTGAGTTCTGTGTGTTCCTTTTTTTTTTTTTTCATACTGTAAGTTAATAAAGTTTTTCCTTTATTCCTAAGCTGGAGCCTGCTTTGCTCTATTTCTGGTCCCATCTCACAGCAGACACTAGGGAGAACATATTTTCATGAGGGCACTGGCATTGTGCCAGCATCAAACCATGACAGTTACATTAGATGGCAAGAACAGCTCTGATTCTCTGGATCTTGGCATGTTTGAGCAGGGCCTCAGCAGCTTACCTTTTTCACTGGGGACATAGAGGATGCCTTTGGTGGGTCCATCTGGGCTAGAGCTGAGCAGACAGCCCGGAGGTGCCACACACACTCGGCCGTGGTAAGGGGGCTTGTGAGACTGGGCAAAATACAGTTTCCTGTGCAGCAAAGAAAGTTTGTTATGGGGGAACAGAGGGAGGGAAGATGAAGCATCCAACATGGAAACAGACATTCTCAGGGACAGAAGCAATGGGAGAGGTGAACATCTACAGACCTGTATCCCTAACCATTGCATATTCTGTGCTGCCCATTCAGCCCAAGAGTTCAGGTGGGTAAGGGCAAGAACCAGATCAGCAACATGTTTTTGCCACTCAGAGAAGCTCACTCACAGCCTCTCAAGCCTTTTGTTAATGATTTCAAGCATCATGTTAATGATGCTATGGGCCTGCAAAGTGACTGCAGAGATGGGGCATATATGCAGCAAAGCAAATTCTAGAGCCATGGATGTCAGTGACTGAGAGCAGGACTAGCACTGGCCATCAGGCATCTCACACCAGCCCCAGCTGTGCTGTTTCTGTTGCCTTGTCCCGAGGGGGGTTTGCAAGGTTACCGTGTGCGCTGCTGCTCCTTGGAGGCCACGTAGAAACTGAAATCGAACTTCCAGCCCCTCTTGGTGTCACAGGACAAGGTGGTCATCATCCACTTCCTGGGGCTCATCTGCTTAAGCAGCCCTACTGTGGACACACAAGCTGTCAGCTTCCTGGTGAAGTTACCGAAAGGCACTCTATACACCTAAGCAATGGATTAATGAAAACAGACACTTAACTCCACAGGGTTGCAGCCTGTTGCACATTAGCATCACACTCTCCCTTCCTCCCTGAGCACTGGCACAGCCACACAGAATGAGCACTGCAGGCACAGTCAGCCCCCAGCCTGCCCCTTCCCAGCGATGGCCAGTGTGTGACGGGCCCCTTAATACCCTCAGTCCCCGTGGCCTAGGCTGAATGGTGGCTGCTCTGCCCAGGGTGAGGGACATCTGCCCTACTGACACCCACAGTTTGGCTCCTGTCACTGACAGTCACCTCTCAACAGCAACAGGTGAAGCCTTGTGGCACTCCAAGGTGTCATCTTGGATGATGCCAAGCACAATGCCTTCTGTGTTAACTACCCTACTGCAGTGCTCTGGAAATGTCACCCAAAGCTACATAGGACCCCATGGAGAGACAGGAGGAGGCTCTTGTGCTCACCTGCTGAGTGCTGCCCTCTTGCTAGAAGGGTCCAGCATCCTGGAGTGACTTACCTGGAAGGAAGGCACCTCCCCGTCCCCCGGTGACACCATCTGCCAGGGCGCGGGGACACTGGCATTGAGTGAGAATCTGTAGATTGCTGGTCTTCCCTTGCTCCTGGACTTGGAGATATACACAGTGCCCTGGAGCTCTGAGGAAAACAGAGGGCACGAGGTTTGGTGCTACTTCTCAACCAACAAATCATGCAGCCAGAGCAAAGGAGGGCTCCTATGGTTTACTGTCTGCTCAGCCTCTGCCTTCTCCCAGCACAGTACATCTTTCAAAGGCTATCACAAATACATCCTGAGCTGCAGTAATTCCTGATGGCTTATTGATTCATGTCATCTTGGGACCTGGCCCAATAACTGTTTTATCCTCAAAATCCCCTGCAAACTGAATTTACTCTCCTCGTGACCTGCCAACAAGGTTGTGAACAGGACTGGGATGTGAAAGCTTGGAGTTCCTAGCCCTGTTCTCAGATCAGAGGGATATGACACTAGATGATAGTGCCACCTGGGTTACAGGACCATGTCCTAGAGAGCAGCAGGTATTCACGGAAAGGGGGATTCTAAAAATGCCCCAAACTGTCACAGGCATCTTTTATGAAAAAGTCTTTCCTTAGGATTTTTCCTCATGAGAAGCTGAGAGGCCTCAGGAACAAAATGCAAACAATGGTTATCTGCTGCTGTGGAATGCAACAGGTGCATCTGGGATTGGGCTCATGTGGTTGTTTCTAATTAATAGCCAATCACAGTCAGCTGGCTCAGACAGAGAGTCTGAGCCACAAGCCTTTGTTATCATTCTTTCTTTTTCTATTCTTAGCCAGCCTTCTGATGAAATCCTTTCTTCTATTATTTTAGTATAGTTTTAATATAATATATATCATAAAATAATAAATCAGCCTTCTAAAACATGGAGTCAGATCCTCGTCTCTTCCCTCATCCTTGGACCCCTGTGAACACGGTCACACCATACATCCAGCACCAGCCTAGGGCTCAGTGGGGCAGGCTCTGAAGAGAATTATTCCCCATCAGCTATTCAGAGAGCATGTGGTTTAGTTTGTACCCCAGTGGATCCTTGGGCCCTGGCTGCAAATATGGCCAGAGTGATCATGCTCCACTCACCTTGCTGCCCTGCATCACTCATGCTGCCTTTGCTTCCCCAAGGTGAACCTGAGCCCCTCTTCTTTTTTTCCAAGGAAGTTCGGATGTTGTTCTGCAAACTGTGGGGCTTTTCCTGAAACAAACCTGTCCCACAAGGTTAGTCAGGGAGGAAGGAGTGAATGGCATGAGAAAAGAGGTGCCAGGCCTGTGCACAACACAGACTCAGCTGCTGAGTACCAAACCCTGGGCAGGAAACACAGTGCCACAGTCTCTGGGCTGGGCACTGACATGAGACCAGCACTTATGAGTAAAAACAGTCAGTTTTCATGGTCTGTGAAGGGATTGCTCCAGAAGAAATACTCAGGCAGTTCATGGCTAAAGCAGGAAATACTTTATATTTATATATAAATACTAATATAATATCTAAATCTATATAATATCTTATATCTAAATACTAATCTAAATATATCTAAATACTCCACTCCTACAGGCAACTCAACCATCCTATTCCCAACGTGTACCTCCTTTCCACGGGGCCCATCCAATGTCCAGTGAGATATTTGAACATTGTAGGTGTCTGCCTCACATTTCAGCTCCTCCAGCCCAGGGCTTAGGCCAGGCTGGACTGCACCCACCATGGTTTGGGAACCAGTGTTCTCACCTGAGCAGGTGATGCAGGAGATCCCTTCAGCACTCAGGTTGTATTTCAGGTCCAGTAGCACCTGGATGTTTGTGTCTGGCCGGAACAGGACTGGGGCACGGCTGGCTGGATGGAGGCGGCTGGCAAAGAATATGGACAGGAGCAAAACGAGCAGAAAGAGCCCTGCAAAGAAAAGCCTGGCTCAGCATGGGACCCTGCATGCACTTCAGACATGCTCAGAGAGCAGCAGTGTGGTAGAAAGATGGTGTTTTCAGCTGGGAAAAGAACAGCCACTAAAGCACACTGGCAGCTGGGCTTTCTTGCAATGAGCCCCATGCCTGGAAAAAACTCCATCAGGAATTGCCACTTTAGATCTGAGTGAGAAGAAAGGGATGGTAAAGTCCCTTAGGGACTGACTGTTCAGGGAGCACTCTCCCACTGTGTTAGAAAACAGTTACCACATCCCTTTTCCCAGCTCTTGCAACTAATAATCAAGGCTTGGAGATTGATTGAAATGTCAAACCCTCTAAAATCCATGCAAATGCAACTCCCCTCCTTGCTTACCCACAATCACCCATCTGCTCTTCACTGCAGACCACAGCACCCAGTGCTCCAGCAGCTCCTGCAGATGAGTTATCAAGTGACCCTGGCTGCTCTTCTCTGCAGAGAGCTGCAGATTTTCTGGCATCACAGACACCAAGGGGACATCCCCCATTTCCAGGGAGACTAGGATAGAGAGAAATCAAAAGCAGTCTCAGTGGCATGAGTGTCTCTCAGAGCTCTCTGCTCTCCTTTATCAAATCTTGTACAAGGTGCTGTACAGCTCAGTCAAGCTACAGAGATGGAGTAAGACCCCAGCAGAGGCAGTGACTCCAGGATGTTTTAAGAAGCATCTTTGCCAAGTCACTGCCATGCAACAGCTACACATGTAAGTCCATATCTCAGTCCAAATCTATGCTTCAGGCTATTCCTTGCTCTACCAAACCCCACAAACACTGTCCATAAGGTCACAGGGACACTGCATGCTTCTTGGGCCAAGCAGACTCTGTCCCTGTCCCACTAAATATGCCTTACTGCTAATTAAACACAGCTGACCTCTTCCTGAGTGCAGCCTGGCTCCTCCCTGGTTCTCTTATCTCCAGATCAGGGATGCCAAGGGAAATGCCCCCTTCTCTATGTGTGAGAAGAGGGCACTTGCTGTGTGTTGGGGAAGATGAAACAGGAAAGCCTTATAAATATGATTGCCTGGCAAAAGATTTTGAGAATATGGAAACTATAAGCAAGATTGGAATGAAAGCAAGCTTTGAGATCCCTCAGTTACTGAACAATGTCGGCCACAACACAACAACAATGGTGTGGCCACTGAAGGTGATCCCCTTTTGATGGAACAACACCCTCTGCTTGCAGACAGGCCCAAGGGTCAGAGCAGACCCTGCCAGCTTGGCAGAAGGGGCCCAAAGAGGAGTTTTTAGGGTTTAAAATGTAGCACAGTATGGTAATGTAGTGATTCTTATAGGCTGTGTGTAAATGCTATAGGATTTGTGTATTGTACTAGATTGGTTAGTGAGAATCAGAATGTTCAACACAGAAGAAGATTTATTGTATTGGAATGGGAACTTTGCTCTCTTACCCCTTTTATTCTCTTATGCTTTTACTCTCTTGTCTCTTTTACTTTCTTACCCTCCCAATCATCCTCTCTCCCCCTCTCTTCTCTCTTTACTGCTCTGAGCTGTGCCTGGCAGCTCCCAGCAGGGCCCTGCACCCAGGCCCTTTGCAAAAAACCACAAGTTCCCAGCCCTGGCTCCAGAGATCTCTGGTGTCCATCCATCCTGACCATCCTACCCCCCGATGCTCCCACACTGTGGGGGGATGAAGCATGCCTGGCACACTCACAGCCAACCCACAGACCATGCTTGGTCAGTGACTGGAACAAGCTGCTTTGCTTCTTCACAGCTCCCTCATGCCCAGGGACCCTGGAGGAAAACATTCTGCTGTTTGCAGGGAACAGAGGGATTATTTCCATAAATCACCATTGCATGTGGCTCTGGCACACCAAGGAGAACTCTTGCAGCACAGAGCCACAGCCAGAGCTTCTGTGCCTGCCTGTCCAAGGCATCTCAGAGCCCACTCTGCAGCAAGGGCTCTGCACATGCCATGGAATTGATTCAGTTATCTCCAGCTCCAGTTTGCTTCTAGGCCTGAAAGTTACTCACTGCCCCGACCACTGCTGTTGGGGGGTTTAAAAGGAAGAGATTCCAGCGAGTTTTAAAAGCCAAGTACAAGAGAGCACGACCCTGTAAGCACCTTTTTCTTGTGCTGGAAGGATTATCTCCTGCTAACAACAGATAGGGAATTTCTGGGGGTTTTTTTCTAGATTGCTTATGTGATCTCAGGCGAGTCACTGCCCTCTTCATGCCACGATGAAGGAGCTGCCCTAGGGGGCTGATGCTGGAGAACAGCAGTGCTCTTTCTCCTGCTTCCCAAACACAGTGCTCCAAATTGCAGGGAAGATGGGAAAACTTTGCTCCATGGTGAGCTGTCCTGGTGTTATGGATTAGATGTTTCATGGCTACTTCCACATGACAGTGATTCCAGACAGAAAGCACACCACAGTGGACCCAAGAGAATCAGCAAACCAGTTAAGAAAGCATGCATTGACACCCACTGAAGATCTCAAAGCAAACTTACAAAGAATGTTGAGTCCTGACTCCTACACCTTCCCATGATGACACCATCTCCAGCTTACAGTTCAGGGAACTGAGGCAAGGACCAGTGTCAGGGGCAGGGAGAACTGCAGGATGAAGAGGGCAGTGTGATCCCCTAAAGGCACAAACAGAAAACACTTACCAGGCTCCTCCTCCACGCTGAGCAGTGGGATGTCATCATCAAGGTAGGGAAGGGTCTCTCTGCCTGCTCTGGAGGGGGCTGCTGAGGCAATGAAGAGATCTTCAGCCAGGTGCAAGGCACTCTTTTTGGTGCACTTCTGACTGCAGCTGGATTGAAGCAGGAAAGGAGACAAAGGCAAGAGTTTAAAGCCACACACCCTGTGGGGAGTTACCAGTGGGCTCCTTCAGTGGCAAGGAGCACAGGAACAACCTGCTCCAATTGCTTGGGAAGACAACAGGGGCTGCCAGGAGCAAATTCCATTGCTAAGTGCTGAGAGGGCAGGGGCTGGGCTGGATGCACAGAGCAGGGCTGAGCCTGGACCCTGGGTGCTGAGTGATGGGAGTTTCAGCAGTTCATGTCCCTGCTAATTAATAAAATCATTCCATGTCACCTGCAGTGCTGAAGAGCAGGGGAAAAGGAAATGTGCTGACTTTCAAGCACAAATCTGCATGTCCTGCTGGTGCTCACTGGCAGGAGCAGTGGGGACCTGTCTGCCTTGCAGGGCTTGCATCTCCACCACTTGAAGGTTTAGCTGTCAAATGGTCAAATGGAAACAAATGGTCCAATACTCACTCCATAGCATTCAACCAAGAGAACTGACTGAGAGAGAATGAGACTGGGACTTGACCCTTCCATTTTGCTCGAATCTGGAATGGCAGAACTTAAATTTCCCTTCTGTCAGAGCCAAAGCCAAGCTGCCTGAGGGGAATGAGGATAAACTGAGATGATAGGGAAGGAATTTGCAAACCTCCTTGACTGTAAATTCCACAGCTTCTCACCCACAGGCTCCAGGGCTCACCTGGCTTGGCAGGAGCTCTCTAATGGGGACACATAGAGGGTCCATATTCCAAGAGCAGCTGGCATGGTGAAGAGCACAGCTACCCAGCAGCAGGACACAATCAGGGACATGAAGAGTCCAAAGTCATGCACAGCTGGGATCTACATGGAAGAGAGAGAACATGGGATTGGGATCTGTAAAGGTTATAGCTGGTCTATAGCTGCACAAATAATTTGGCCATGACAGACACTTACTCAACCAGCCTAGCTTGGTAGAGAAGTGAAGCAAACAAGTCCCTGGACACAATACTGATAGGCTAAATTCAAGTTCAAACAAGGGGACCCCATCCAGTCCCTTTGAATCAGGAATGCACCCATATCATTGGCCAGTTAGCTGGGCAGAGTTAAGACCTTTGTCCAATCCTCTCTGTAAGCACGGGATATCCAAGGCCCCTATAAAAGAGGGTGTGCTTCAACAAAGGTTGGCTGTTGCCACATGAACTTCGGTGTGTGTACGTCACATTCCTGTCTCCACCATCAGTGACAGGGATCAGCTGGGGCAGGATTGCTGAAGAGACAGCAGGCAAGGAAGAGATGTCTGGGGGAGCCTGAGAATAACACACACTAACCTCAGCCATGAAAATCAGCAAACCTGGTAGGTAAAGCACTGAAACAGAGCCTGTTTGACCCCACTGTTATGTGGGGTCGTTGGCTGGAGACAGAGACAGCACAAACTCTCAGGGATCCATGTGACAACAGCAATGGTTTGTTATGGAAGCTTCCTTATATAGGGGGTTTAAAACTCCCAGGGTTAGACAAGATTGGTCTGGGTCTTAACACTGCCCCAGCTCCTTGACCAGTGGTATGTCTGCATTCTAGAAGGAATGTGATTGGATGAGATCTCTGTCACCACGTTTCTCTTCACAGAGAAAAGCAAGGCACAATTCTTCCCAAGAATTATTTCTGGGTTTCACATTGTCTGAACGCCAGAGAAAAGAAAAACATTCTTATCATTTGCTGTGCCTGTGTTTGTGCCAAAGTAGAATGCAATATGGGGATTGCTTACCCACAGTGATGGGGTTTTGTTTCCTTGGCTTATCAGGGCCAGGTGTGAATCAGTAGAATTCAGTTGAGTGCTTGGCAGATTCAGTTTAGATGTAATGTAATATAGTATAGAATAATATATTATAATAAAGTAATTAATTAGCCTTCTGATAAGATGGAGTCCTCCCCATCATTCCTCCCTGCCACAGGGGCTGACCTGTTTCGACAGATCTCTGTTTGAGTTCAAATCTAACCAATAATTGCTCATTCAAGGACTTGTTTTATTTCTTTTCTAGAATGAACCAGGCTGACCAAATTGGATTTCTGTTATGGCCAGATTTACCTTGTCCAGCTACAGACCAGCTGTACTGTGACAGCACAGAAGTATTTCCTTGGATAATCCACTACTTTAACAGCAAGTAAGAGACAGCCCTGTGAGAAGCAGCTCTGGCAGCCCACTGTGCTCAAGGAGAGGACAGATGGTGTTGTCAGCTTCCTGATCGATTAGGCCCTTTGGCAGACATTGAAACCCCAAATTCCAAAGGTACAGGGTACCTGAGAGAAGATGTTGGCAGCATATGCTGCAGCTGTGGTCAGGGAGGTGAAGAAGGTGGCTTTCCCTGCTGTCTGGATCGTGTGGATCATGCGCAGTCGCAGGTCCTTGAGGTGCGTGGCTTGGCGGTAGGTGTTGATGAAAACAAAGACATCATCAACTCCTGGGAAAAGACAGCAGAGATGTTGGTACTCTGCTCACAGAGGTGACACCTGCTGAAAATCTGATTTGCCCCTTGTGAAAAATGCATGCATTCTATGATTGGCTTTTCGCAAATGTTAAAATGAATATTATATGTGTTGTGTTAGAAAGTTATGCTGTATTAATTCTCTTAGGTACTGTGTTAAATATAGTTTTAGGTTATAACAAAATGCTAAAATAGAAACTATGCTATGTAGGATATTTTTTTTGAAGAAAGGACTTGCACAGAGATAGCAGCCACAGGACACCTAAATCTTTCAGAGAAAAAGAATTTATTGCTCCATTATCAGCAGAAACGAACTTCTTCCCACCTTGAAGGCACTGTCAGGATTCAGAGGAAGAAGCTGACACTGCCCAGACAGAATCCTGTATTTGAATGGAGTTTATGCATCATGGATGAGGTGTGTGAATATGCAACAGGCTGTTGCTTTTAAGGGTTAATCCTCTGTTAACGTGGGTCCTTTCTCAGGCTCGTGTTGCCCAGAAAGAGGTACCCAGACGTCTGTAACTCTTTGTATTTATTGTCCCATATTGTCCTAATACAATTTGTCCAAATTGTTATTACTCTAATTATATTACTATTTTTATAACCATTTTATTACTATGAAACTTTTAAAATTTTCAAAACAAGTGATTGGCGTTTTTCACACCCCTTGATATTTGAACTGCAAATATTAAATTTATAGGTAACAGAAAAGGGCCTGAAAATTCAATCTGCATTTGCCACCATCACCTTCTTCTCTCCTGCAGACAGAAGGCAGGGCAAGGCAGCACAGGTGAAGCACTGAAGGCTTTGAGTAAAGATGATCTTACCAATCCCCACGATGACAAAGGCAGCCACACCATTGAGTATACCCAGATACTGGATCCCAAACACCACATGGTAGAGGAACAGAGCCACCAGGCAGCTCAGCCCAATGCTGGCAATGCCAAAGAATGACAGAAACACTACAGCAGAAAAGAAACATGGAAAAAAAAATAATATCTCTGGCCACCCCTAGCATAACAAACACCTCCCATCTGCCCCTTTGGGATACTGGTTCCCATGAGTGTGTTGGAGACAGAGAACAGTTCAGGGCTGCAGGAGTACTGCTTGCAGACTCCTTCCCATGAGGCTCATGCAAAAAATCACATCAAAGTTATGCCAGTGTTACCAAGACTGGCATTTGCATCTCATTCCTGACCTCCTGTGAGTCTTTCCCTCACCCTGCCCATAAATGTCTGCTCTGGAGAATCAGACTTGCCCTTCTGCATGCTGCAGTGCCACACTGGTGCCAGGGCATCAGCCTCTCCTCAGCCTCGACACAGAGAGCCAGGGCACATTTGGATTTGTGTTAGAACAGGTGACTCCAGCATACCTGAGCAGGAGGTGAGGATGTAGACCAGGACAGCGATGCAGCTACTGCTGATGAAGGCCAGCAACATGTCATTGTTGAAAGTCCTCCTCACTTCATAGTCAAACAGATCTGTCCCTCCATACAGCACCTGGACTTTGCTGGGGTGGGGAGATATGAAAGAAGAGGAATAGTTGAGCACAAAAGGAGCAGAGCCAGGTGGTTTGAAGCACAGTAGCTCCTCCAGAGCCAAAGGAGGTCACTGCTCTAATAACCTGGCAGTTCTCTGAGAAAACAGAGCAGTGAGAGCAGGTTGAACAAAGCCGCTGCTGGAGGTGAAATTCATACAGGGAAGGAAAAAAAATAAAGAGGAGGTCTAATATTTTTAAAACTCCTCCACTGCATGGTGGGTCTTAGGTACTAATAGACAGTTCCTGGAGTCTTCAAAGCCAATTCCATCTGGAATCCTAATCATTGCTTATTATATTAGCACTGTGGATGCAGGCAGAGGGAGAGATTAATCAGAAATTATATGATTTACCAGGTTCTGCCTCTGGAAGCAGGCTCAGAGCAAAAATAATCCAACATAATTTAACCAGGACTACAATAATGCTGCACCACAGGAAGCTATCAGGGATCTGAGCTTTGGAACTGAGCCTTGGCCTCAATTCCTTTTTGGCTTGTCAGAATCACAATCTGCTTTCCCAGCCCATTGCTGAGAATGCTCTGTGGCTGCCTGCACTCCAACCTGCTTTTGAAGATCAGCATCCCTTCACTCTGGGAAGCACCAAGACTCAGGGCAGCAGGAAGCTGGAGTCTAAGAAGGCACAGAGACTGGGACACACAGCCTTCTGTCACCTGCCTGAGTACTGGGATGCTCTTTTAGCTCTATTTTATCATCTCTCTCTCACACAAGCACTGAGCAAAGCTCTGTTCAACCAAGAACCTGGCAGTGAAAAAAGCCTGCACTTCCTGAAACTTATCCTGCCCTGAGACTCCCTTCCCCACCTCTCTGTACAAAAAGCAGAATTTGATCCACAGGTTGAGCAGCCTTGAGTAAAGACTTTCATCCCCTGCATCACACCAGTCGTGGCCAAATTCAGAGCAGGAAGAAAGTCCTGTTTGAGCTAGTGGAAGTGGATTTGTAAGACAGAAGCAAAAAGATCCTATGCCAGACAAGCTCTCAGTGGAAAGACAGGCAGTAGATTCAAACTTTGTCCCCTTTTCATTGTCTCTGTTGGTGTCTCTGGCATGTGGAAGTGGCAGTAAAGGGAAGCATATGAGTACTTTTCTGCCATATACTCCCCACCATCATTCACAGCTCTGTGGCTGAGCCCAGTTTCGATGGAGATGCTTTTTCATCTGGAAACAGATGAAAACTGGCATGGCCACTGTTCAAACCTGACCAGCAGTCCAAGCTAGCATGTCAAACCTTCTGTTCCTGGTGCCTTCCCAGTGAAGCCAAATGGAACATGGCTATCAGAGAACAGAATAGAATAGAATAGAATAGAATAGAATAGAATAGAATAGAATAGAATAGAATAGAATAGAATAGGCACTTCTGCCCTGGTGTGAACTTTAAGGCAGAGCTGTCACATTCATATTTTCTGAAAAATCCCCTTGCCCAAGATGTTGCTCCTGGGAAGCTGAGAAGCCTCAGGGAAAAAGGAGAACAATAATTATCCGATTTGCTTCTCCTGTGTTTTGCTGCTTTGGAATGTGTTTGGACATTGTTTATCCACAGGTGTTTGTTTCATTGGTTTCATGTGAATTGTTTTGACTTAATGGCCAATCAGGCCAAGTTGTGTCCAGGCTCTGGAAAGAGTCAGGAGTTTTCATTATTATCTTTTTAGCCTTCTGTAAGTATCCTTTCTGTATTCTTTAGTATAGTTTAGTATAGGAGTGTGCCTCTTGTTGATAGAGTGACAAAACTATCTTTTGTCTCTTCAAAAATAAAAAAGCCCAAAAATGTCTCTTCTCAATTAAGTGAAAAAGCTACTTCATAAGTCTAAGAGACCTCACCTCAAACTTAAGGATAGCTAATTAAACAGAAGCCAGAAAGTCCCACCTCTGCAATTTACTAAAAAAAAGAAGTGAACAAAGAAATTAATCCCTTTTGTAAGGTGTTTTACCAGGAACAAGAACCTCTGGTGCCTGGCTTGGCTTTTCTCTGTTTGTTATTTTGCCTTTCATTAAACCTTTTTGTTTCTAGCACTGCAACAAAAACCATCCTGCTGATTTTATGCCTGCAAGGGTAGCTGAGCTATCTTGGGTGTGTTATAGACCTCCAAAAGCTTATTAAACCTAGCTTGAGGAGACTACTATAACAGTTTAGTATAATATAGTATCATAAAATAATAAATTAGCCTTCTAAGAACATGGAGTCAGATGCATTGTTCCCCCCTTCATCTGGGAGCCCCACAAACACAAGACAGAGCTTTTACCCTGCAAGGTCTGTTCCATCCTGAGCCCTTCCCTGCTCTTGTGCACTCCCACCCGCCCTGCCCACACCCTCCCCTCACCTCGTGGACTGCTTGGCCAGCATGGCCACGTAGGTGATGACAAAGTTCTGGAACTTGCGGCGCTGCTCCTCCCAGCGATCCTCCACCGAGTAGTAGTTGGGCAGTGGGGCCCCGAAGAGGATCTCACTCCTCAGCAGGGAGCTCTTCTTGTTCTCAGCAGACAAGCCCTCATCCACATACCAGTAGAATTCGGGGTGGGTCATGGCCAGCTCCAGGGATCCTGCAGGAGAAAGCAGTGCCACTTTTGTTAGGTGCTGCTTGATTATCTCAGCAAGGCACGGGATCCAGTGTGCCACGGGGAAGCTGGGGGTCATCCTGTCCTTCCTCAGAGCAGTGCTGACTGCTGCTGCCTTCCAGAGAGCACGGGATCCAGTGTGCCACGGGGAAACTGGGGGTCATCCTGTCCTTCCTCAGAGCAATGCTGACTGCTGCTGCCTTCCAGAGAGCAAGGAGGGCCAGGGAAACCTGGCTTGCAAAGACTCACATCCCACTTCTGTTCTGTGACTGCTTGTGTTACTGCCTCATCAGGGACACATCTTCCACGTGACTGACCTGAACTACAGCACCCCCAGCCAACACCATCCTGATCAATACCCCACTGCTGCACGCTCTTCCTTCTCTTACACTGGGACAATATTTTCTCCATTACACCTGGAAGCACAAGAACTAAGCAATGCCCATGGAAGAGGAGTCCTGGCTCTGCTGTGACCTGTAGCTCTGCTATCTGATGGTGTGAGGGTTGCAGAGATGGAGGCACTCAGCTAGTTCTGACTAAGAGACACTGCCTATCTATTCCCAAAATCCAGTTCCCTAGAGTTTGGACCAGAAAGACCAGGAACTGTGCTCTTTCCTGTTTTGGTAGCAGAACTGTTACTGGAGCAGATGGACTTAATCCTTTGCTTGTTCCCTGCATGGCTCCTGGACAGCAACCCTCTGCAGCCTGGCTCAGGAGACAGATGGAGGGTACATCCCACAGCCACAGCACACCCACAGACTCCCCATGAGTCACCTCTTTGTCACCACCCAGAGCCTCTGTTCTACTAGAGGTGCACAGCACAAGGTACAGAGCTGGGAGGAGGAGGCAGGGCCTTTTTCCTCCTCTCCTTATAGGAACCTTTCCAGCTGGTGACTCACAAGCTGCCAGAACAGCCCACAGACCTCTTTAATCTGCTCTGTCGTGTAGGGAAGCTCATCCCTATCTGTTTTTTCAAGCCCCTGGTATTGCTCCAGTGAGCCACAGTCATCTACAGGGGACAAGGGTCAGTAGAAGACATCTGTACCATGCAGGACACCCCCTCACTTGTCCCTCTCACTTGCCTGTGGGGGTCTGTGTGACCTGTGACTGGAGTTGCAGGGTTGAAAAAGGGGCCCTGGTGCGGAAAAGACAATTCCTCAAGGCACAGCCCAGCAGCATCTTCCTCTCCATACAAGGCAGCCACTCCTCTTAGCTGCACACCACTGACTGCCTGAACCTTGTTGGGATCTTTAGCTGCTCAGAGTGATCCCAAGAAAAGTTCCAAAGTCTCTTTTCCCAGCCCCACGCTTGAAGAAGGAATCAGGGCTCTTCATTTCTCAGTCTCAAGGTTGTTTATTGTATCTTATCTGGAAAATTCTTTCTCCTGCCCTGCTGAGTTCCACTCAGCAGGACAGTTCCAGGCACTCTGCTGTCCCTGGGGCACTGTTATGTTTTTATACTAAAAACTACGTGTACAATGTTTACAATTACTTCCCAATACCTATCACCTATGGTAGACAGTGAGCTTCTACTCTAGACCAATCTGTCAGTGCCACCATCACAGCAGAAGATGGAGGCGAAGAAGAAGAAGGAGAAAGGCTGGACATGCCCAGTTCCCTCCATCTTGCCCCCCTGGATCCCCATTCTAAAAACCCCAAAATCTACTTTTTCACCTTGTGATAAATTCACTATCACTCTACTTAATTTGTCATGGCTTGCAGGTTTTCATCTAAGGTTGGTAACTTGCTCCACAGGTCATAATCAAACCCACAGGGGCATCCTGGGCTCTGTGCCAGGGTCTCTGAGCCCCCTGGCAGGGGTCTTGGCCATCCTGGACAGCCAGAGGGATGTCCTGGGTCCTGACAGAACCTGAGGAGAGGCATTCCTTGAGCATGCCAGCCCCTGCCTGTGACCCTCAGCTCACCTTGGATGTCAGCAAGGTCTTGTCCCATGCCATCGTAGTAAATCTTCCCTCCTCTCTCAGTGGGGAAGAAGTAGGTCATGAGGGAGCTGGGAGGGGAGCAGTAGGAGTAAGAACCCAGGGGCAGGTCCTTCAGGACCTCATGGGGCTTCCAGCAGAATTCACGGAAGCGAGGGTGGTCCATGATCTTGCGCTCCACCTCGTGGATGGTGACCAGGCGCTCCGTGGTGAAGATGTTGTTCTCAGAGTCGCCCCGAGCCAGGAAAATGAGCTCAATGCGCCAGTGAGCGTGAGTCTGTGTGTTAGCACTGATGTAGGTGCTGGAGTAGTCCCAGCGTGGGGCTCCCCTCCCAACTCTGGAGCTCTGGTTTGCTGTGCTGGGGTGGGGCTGGGGCTGCAGGGAGCTCCCCCTGCCCTCCGCGGGGCTGCGCCTCACCCGCGCGCTCACCCCGAGGTGGGAGGCGTTGAGGTGGAGCTGCTGGAGCTGCTCAAAGATGAGCCTCTGCAGGGTTTCTGAGGTAAAGTCAGCCAGGTCCCGGCGGTTCCTCCCCCAGGAGCCAAACTGGGATTTGAGGGCCAAGGCGAGGGCGTCGAAGCGCTGCGAGGACTCGTGGTTGCGGATCTCGAAAGCGTTGTAGGAGATGTCAATGTCCAGGGCGGGGTAGTGGAGGAACATGACGACAGCAAGCACAGCAGGGATGGCACAGCCCAGGAAAAGGATGAAGCCAGCACAGTAGGGGTTGGTAAACACCCAGCCAACAATATTCCAGAAGCCAGACATAGGCAGGGTGACACACAGGGGCCTGACTCTGCACGGGCTTTTCCCACACAACAGAGCACCCTCGCGCCTCTTCCGGGAGCTGAAGGCCACATCTTCATCTTCCTCCTCTAGCCAGGCATCCTGTAACAATGGGTCATCCTCTGTGTCCATGTCCAGCACCTGCACACAGACAGAGCAGTCAGCAAGACCCAGCAGTGGTGTCACAGGCACAGCTGTGAATCCACAGACCCGCAGCAGCAGAGCCAGGACACTCCAGCTCCCTCAGGAGGAAAGCATCACTCCTTCCAAACCCCACAGATCTGCTGCAGCCACTGAAACAACAACCTTGTCATGGGGCATCCCACATTCTGCCTGGCAGAGGAACCAGAGAGGGAGAGGTTCAAGTGACAGTGCCAGGGCCCAGTGCTGTGGCAGAGGAAGGCTCTGCATGGCTCCAGGAGCACCAGGCAAGGAGACTGCAGCAGGGATTCACAGTATGTTGCTCACCCTGCAGCAGCATGAACACTTAATTAGCTAACCTGGCTCTCACATCCAGGAATGGTTCATGCTACCAGATACAAAATGCAAAGGAGTGCTATCTTCCTCTCCTTAGAACTGACAATAGATTCCCCCCAGCTATTTATGGCTTTGCTCCTAACCAGACCCCCAAACACAGCACCTTGTCAGCCCCAGCTCACAGTGCTCACCTTTGCCAGGCATCCAGTGAGTTTTCAGAGGGGTTGATGTGTGCAAGTGTGGGTGCAGGTGTGAGGGTGTGTGTGTGCTTCTGGCTCAGTGTGTTGCAGACATCTTTTATGAAAAATCCTTTCCTTAGGATTTGTCCTCCTGAGAAGCTGAGAGGCCTCGGGAACAAAATGTAAATATTGATTATCTGCTGCTGTGGAATGCAACAGGTGCATCTGGGATTGGCCCATGTTGGTTGTTTCTAATTAATGGCCAATCACAGCCCAGCTGGCTCGGACAGAGAGTCTGAGCCACAAGCCTTTGTTATGAGTCTTTCCTTTTCTATTCTTAGCCAGCCTTCTGATGAAATCCTTTCTTCTCTTCTTTTAGTATAGTTTTAATGTAATATATATCATAAAATAATAAATCAAGCCTTCTAAAACATGGAGTCAGATCCTCATCTCTTCCCTCATCCTCAGACCCCTGTGAACACCACCACAGTGTGCACAAACATGAACATTTCATGGGGAAGATGAATACTGCTATAAATAGCTGGGGGAAATCTACTGTCAGGTCTAAGGAGAGGAAGATAGGGCTCCTATAGCTGGTGTGGGACCCCCATCCACCACTCAGCTGCCAGGGACTGTTCCCTTCAGCCTGTAAGGGACAGCCAAGCTAGAACTCCACATTAGTGTAGACTGATGCTGCAGGAGCTCAGGTGTAACCTCACCCATCCCACTTGGGCAGCTTGCTGTGTACCTGCAGTTACCTTCCTTCTACCCCTGACTTTTCTCCCATTGGCCTGGGGAATGCAGTTACTGTGAGATCTGGAAAAGGATATGTGTTCTCTCTTTATAAAGAGAGGCAAAGAGCCACAATTATTTCATTACTGTAGATTGATGCTGCAGGAGCTCAGGTGTAACCTCACTTGGGCAGGTTGGGTGGGTACCTGCAGTTACCTCCCCTCTACCCCTGACTTTTCTCCCACTGGCTGGGGGAATGGAATTACTGTGAGATCTGAAAAAGGATATGTGTTCTCTCTTTAGAAAGAGAGGTAAAGAGCCATAATAATTTCCCATTTTATTGAGTTACTGAAGAGAAGGAGGGAAAAGATTCTTATCCTGAGACAGAAGAGCTTGCATGTGACAAGAAAGGGAAATGAGAGAAAGCAACATAATAATAAGGCAGCAGAAAAGGGATTACAGCATCTTCTTTCTTAGCCAAGAGCTAAATCCTCAACTCAAGGATGGGATCAGTTCTAAGGTATCTCCCTCTGATTTGCTCATCAGTTGTCATGGTCTGGACTGCAAACCCCAATTTGTAACACGTGGGCACCTATAATGTCTGGTGACCAACATGTGTTACACTCTAGCTGCAGACTGGCACAAATTCTGGTACTGATGTGAACTCCAGCACGGAAATTTCTGGAGAAGCCCCTGTACACACTCACATGGGAACTGAGGGAAGGATCAAGGAATTGTTCTGGGGCAGAGGCATGGGCAGGGTGGGTGGCACCTGCACTGTCCCCAGCAGTGCCAGCCTCCCTCTGCACACAGGGTGCACATATTGCCTGCATCCACAGCTCTCAACCCCCTCCAGGAGAGCTGGTTCAGCTCCAAAGCCAGACATGGCACACTTAGCACTGCCCTTGGCACTCATCTGGCTTTGCCACCTTCCTCAGACCCTGCCTGGATCAGGGTGACAGCCTATCCAACCCAAAACATGGCAAATTGAACTGGTGGGGAAGATAAACCCTCAAATCATCCAGAAGGGGATTGAAATGCATTTTTTTTCTGCTTGAATTTCACTTGAGGGCTGGCCTGTTTTCCCTCCATCACTTCTCATGCTATCCAGAGACTCTCAGCACTGAATCATAGCCCAATTACTTTTTCAGCTCCAGGATACACACAGAGAACTTAATCCTGCAGCCTTCATTAAAGCTCTGCCTCACTTCTGAGCAAGCTTAGCCTGCGCCAGGTTGAAAGAGGCAGAGGATTAGAGCACTCCTTGGAGCCCTGGGTCTGTTTCTTTAGAGAAGAGGCACTGATTCAGCTGGTTTGGGTAGGCATATAGATTTGCTGGGCTTCCCTCTGCTATTTCCAAAGCAAACAGGCTTCCTGCAAGCGAGATCCAGCTCAAGCCCCAACAGCCCCACAGGGATTGTCATTCGCTTGCACCTCAACCAGGGAAAACACCCATGCAGCTCCCACAAGACAGCTCTTTTCCAGGGACATCTAGAAGAAAGAAAGTCATTGGCAAGTTGGAGAGAAGCAGTGACAGATGAGGAAGCTAATTACACCTGACCTGACTAATTAATGCTGACTTTCACATTAAAAAATCCTCACTAGTGTTCCATTTCAATTACCCAGTTGTTCCTTCCTACAGGAAAAAGGAAGCCTTGTGCAGCACCAAGCTAGAAAGAAAAAAGGAAAGGAAGCTCAAGACTAGAAGGGAGGGAAAGACAATTTCTGTAATACAGGAGATTCTCATTGACAAAATAATCAAACTTCACACTGGTTTCTGCCATGTGCAGAGCATTCACAGCAGGGCTAGCAGTTTTGTGCTCCTGAAATCTTCTGGAGTTTCGACTAAAGGCAGCTTTAAGCCCCTTTGATAGCAGCATGAAGTTCCTGTAAGGGGGAGAGAAATAGCCTTCATGCTTCCAAATTATCCTAAGAGCATCTGGGTCCTGGCAAAAGCCACATCTCTGTGACACAGAGCTGCACACAGAACAACTGGAGGGCAGCATTAATGTACCACACTAAAGCAGAGCTCCACAGGGACACCAGGACACAGCAGCTCTACACTTGAATCACTGAGACTAATCCAGAAGCCTAATTTTAAAACACAACCAAGAAGGGCTTTCTCAGGTCCCTGTTCTGTGGCATTCACATTCTCTGAAAGAATCCTTTTGCCCGGGATTTTTCTCCTGGGAAGCTGAGAAGGCTCAGAGAAAAAGGAAAACAATTCTTATCTCATTTGTTTCTTCTGTGTTGTGCTCACATGTGGAATGTGTTTGGAGATTGTTTACCCACAGGTGATTGTTTCATTGCATTCTGCTGTGAGTTGCTTTCCTCATTGGCCAGCTGTGTTGGGATTCTGGAAGGAGTCACCAGTTTTCATTATTATCTTTTTAGCATTGAGTAAGTATCCTCTCTGTATTATTTAGTATAATATAGTATTCTTTAATATAATATAGCATCATAAAATAATAAATCAGCCTTCTGAGAACATGGAGTCAGATGCATCATTCCTGCCTTCGTTTGGGGCAATGCAAATACAATACCATTCTCCCTTATCAACACAGCTATCACTAAGGGCATGGAGTCCCTTTCCCAGTGCAGACTACTGTTCATGAATTGTTAAACAAAACAATAGGGAGAGTTAGATATGGTTTTTTTCCAGCTGAAAGTCTGACTTTCGGAAGTCTTGCACTCCTGGAAAAGTCAGGCAGGCCATGGACACCTCACCCTGAATCTCCTATAAAACTTCTCAAAACATTGACTTAATTCAGCCACAGACCAGATGCTGTGCCTGAGGATACATCACAGAGAGAAGCTGTTTCAGTGGGATACGAGCCCAGAGATGCACATGCTGCTCAAAAGCACTGGTTTGATCTGCTGGCTGAGCTGGCTCACCATTATTAGTTAAGCAGGTTCACTTGCCCAGTTGCAAGCACAGCACAACAACAAGGCTTTAATCTATTTTCTTTCTGTGTGCTTTGCTTTTCCCTTTCCACTTGCTTTAAATCCTTTAGTAAGATGCAGAAAAACATTGCCAGACCCCAGGCACTTTGCAGATCAGAATGATAGCAGAATGCTCCAGCAGCACAGAGCTGTTGGAATTACAGTGTAATAATATAAATATGTGTTTGCTGGGAAGAAAGTTCAATAAAATTATTATATATATATATAAAATTTGTTGAACTTATATATATATATATATATATATAAAAGCTCTACAGTCTATAATTCCATTTGCCCACAAAAAGCAAGACAATAGGCAGGGCTGTATATAGGAAAGAGGATTATCTGATCTCAAGCTTTTATGAAATCAAGCACAGGCACATGCAGCCTCATCTCTTACTGAGGTGTTCCCTTCCACTGCTGACTGTTCCACCCCTCTTCCACCTTACAGGAACTTTTATGCCCTTGCTAAGATAAGAGCAGCTGGAAACAGAAGGATCAATGATTTTAAGTGATTAGGTTCAACGATCTTTTCCAACCTAAATGATTCTACCATCTCTCAGCCAGCTTTCAGACTGGACAAAGGCTGCTTAGAGCACTCTCAGCCTACTGTGCTGAGGATCTTCTGCATGCACCCACCTGCTATTCCAGGCTCTGACAAACACTGATTAGACCTACTCATAATTGCATGCCAAAAACAGTGTGGAAAGATTAGCTGCAAAGTCAAGCACTCACCAGTCAGGAAATGCCAAATTCAGGCTCAATACAGTGTCCTCAATTTGTCCCCTCTTTTGTAAATGCTCTGCAGTGTAGTTT